TTAAATCTTTTTAGGAAAAAATATTTTTCAGGAATCTCAAATCAATTTATATTATATCAGACAATGGAAGTACGAACTGATGAAAAACACCACGAAACATTGTCAGCCACCTTCAAACAAGGTCCTCATGTAATAATCAGGGGAATCCAACATTTAAAATATTATTTTAACAAGCTATATAATATACTCTTTGGTATAGGTCCGTCATCGTTATTCATAATATTATTGTGTTTACTTATTTCTACACTCTCATAGGCATCTAGTTGCCTGTTGTTGTTAACTCGTCTTACTAATCTTAATGAACTGAAGTCTATGGAATGGTTTTGTTGCAAAATATGATGGGTGACTACTGATTTTTTAGGTCTTCCATATTTTAAGTGTGCTACGTGTTCCTTATATCTTATTTTAATAGATCTTTTTGTCTGTCCATAATATTTTGCATCGCAGTCTTTACATTCAATTTCGTAAATTCCACACTTTTCCGAATTCTCGATTTTGTTTTTTGGACTTCCCAAAAGGCTCTGTAGTGTATGACTTGTTTTAAAAACCACCTTCATACCTAGTTCCTTGAAAATCTTTCCGAATATACGAGGAACTTTGGAGAATCTATGAGTGCATAGTATGCTATCTTTGCAGTGCTGAACCCCAATTCTTTATAAATCACCCCAACTGCATAACAGACAGAGGAGACTTTTCTAGTGAGTTGCTCAACATGATCCACAAATTTTAAGTTCTGGTCAATGAACACTCCTAGAAATTTAGTGTTATTTTTAGATTCCAGTGATCTGTCTTCAAATAAAAGTTCGTTGATTGAGCATCCAAATGACAATAAATTTGCTTTAGTTAAGTTGAAAGATAAAATGTTTGAATCACACCAATCTTTAACTTTTGTCAAGTCGGCAGAAATTATTTTGTTTTTTTTATTCCAAAGTATGGTAGTGCCATCTACAAATGAGGTTAACTTCCCAGAAATATTGAGCTTGATGAGGTCATTAATATATAATAAGAAAAGAATGGGACCTAACACAGAACCTTGTGGAACTCCAGAATTAATTCCCTTTTTTTTTTTCAAGTCGAGTTGTTTTGACCATTTGCGTCCGTCCTATTAAGTAGGAATCGAACCATTTGTGAGTTACTCTTCTGCATCCATAACGTTGGAGCTTTCTCAGCAATATTTTGTGGTCAACGCAGTCAAATGCCTTTGACAGGTCACAAAATACTGCGGCAGTCTCAAAGTGTAGCAAACCTGCAAAACGTTACCGACTTACCATCAAAGCGATGGACATATTAGGCGAGGTCATCTGCTTGATCAGCCTCTCTATGGTGGGATCGCTCTTCTTCGGACTAGGAAGCTTGTTGACGTTAAGCAAGCTCATTCTTGTGAGTGCTGAGCTCAGTTTGACAGGCTGAAACGCCTCTGAACGTACCCTGAAACAAAAAAAAAAAAAGATTCGAGAGAGAGTAACTGGGGACCGCAGTTAAAATTCTCTTACGCTGCCCTGGCTTCCTCGATCGTAGGTACTTTTATTTCCTCATACAAGAAACTGAGGTCGAACGTCCTCAACTGTGGCTTGGTGACTTTCAGTTGTTGTTGTATGCTGTCCAGCTCTTTCATGAATTCGGGGTCTAACCGGAACGGTCCGTCGATTTCCTTCTTGGGGGGTTCCTGAACTATCTGAGGTGGCAAGCTGAAATAAAGTGTATAAATAGTTTTGGTAACATGTCGAAGGAGTCGCAATCAAAATATCAACTCAGTATACCCCAAGTAAGCGAAAGTCTGCTCAGGTTTTTCTTAGAGAAACATATTGAAATCGAACAACATTCGCGTTTTGAAATAAGACACGACGAAATCAAAGATATTGCACCTCTCAAGGAGTTCAAGAAGGCAGCAGCGGTTTTGTAAACTACTATAGTGCCACTTGACGAGTATTAGCTGATAAATACTGCATATAACGAATAATAATTATAATTACTTGACTGGCGGTAAACTTTCCTCCTCCATATCATCGTCCTGTTCAAAGTTGTTGTTAACGCCGTTGCTTACGAAGGTATTGTCTTCCACGGCTCTATTGGGTGGGGTATTTTCCTTCTGGGGCGATAGTGCTGTCGTCACTACGGTGGCATTCAAGTCCGGTCTGGGAGGGGCAAAAGTTTTTCTGCTCGACCTTTTTATTCTCTCCTCGAGGAGGGACATGTCTTTCTCGGATATCTGAAAAGCGTTTTCACTGTTGAATATGCGAAGTTCAGGATTTGATACAACCGGTCATTATTTATTTTTGGAAATGTTAAATCTCTCGCATGGCTGCAATGTGGTTTTCCACAAAAAATCGCTCNAATGAAATGATCCAGTCAAGAATATTTCCTCTAATGCCAATATTATACAGTTTGGAAGCCATAAACACTTTATCAATACAGTCGAAAGCTTTAGACAAGTCAAAGAAAATTCCTGCCACGTGCTTCCTATTGTCCATATTCCTAGATATGAAATCAACAAAAAGGGTAGTAGCAGATTCAGTTGACCTGCCCATGCGAAATCCATGTTGAGAATCAGATAAAATTTTATGACTTATTAAAAAATTCATTAGTCTATTGTACATTAGTCTTTCTAAAATTTTTGAAAAAATACTGAGAAGACTAATTGGTCTATAATTATCAATTTCTGATCTATTACCACTTTTATGTATGGCGATCACTTTACTCAATTTCAGCACATCTGGAAATTCACCTGTTTCAATAGACATATTGATCAGGTCAGTTAGGGGTTGCACCACACTAATGGAAACTAGTTTCAAAACATTGGGAAATACATTATCAGGTCCTGATGCCGTTTTACTTTTGAGGTTGAATATTGTTGATTTGACCTCTTCGGTTGTGGCGGGTTCGAAGAAAAAGGTATTTTGTTGCATTTCACCAGTGGTGCAGCTTTGAGACATGTCAACTCCAAAATATTCGTCAATTTTGTTTTTTATATTAGTGGAGAAATGTTCGCCAAAACAATTAGCTACTGAGACGGGATCAGTAAATGTGGTATCATTTATTGTAAGTGTTATACCGCTTTTATTTTTTGGACTTCTGCCTAATTTTGTGTTGACTTCCTTCCAAATTTGTTTTGATTTGTTACTGGCTTTAACAATGTTTTCGTTAATGCTAGCCCGTTTAGCATCGCTTATAAGCTTTAAAATGAAGAAGAAGAAAAAGAAGAATGTATGTGAATAGGATGAATAGAAACTATACCTCTCAATTTGAGGTTTTCTAGTTTAATAATGGCCCTCAATTTACAATAAATGATTATATTTATCATTTATATTTACAAAAACATGAAAAGTTTGCGTTGTCAATAAAAAAGTTGTTCATTTTAATGAAACTTTATATCGATTTCTGTAGAACTAACAAAATGGTACTTACATTACCAACCAGTCTGTATACTTTTTCTCCCACGATGTTAAAAAAAGTGTGAAGAACTACAAAGTATTTTTGAATGCTTTTGACAGTCTATGTCATGATTATTGCTAAATTACTGTGTATACAGTCTTATGTAGTTACAATCTTCACTTCAATTGTACGGTTTTTTAATAAGATTATATTTTCTAGGGCAGCAAACTCATATCTCTCTTTCTTTCAGAGTTTGAAAATCACCGATATCCAAAATACGATTGTGAAACCGGAACCACAGCGCAGGTCGCTCTCCAGAGAAAACCACAAAATGCTGACGGAAATATTTCAGAAGATTGGCAGTAAGGACGAGACGAAAACGGGGTTGAATTTATTGTACGACTTCATGCAGCAGCATCCAGAGGCCGATATTGAGCCGTTTCTAGCGAATTCTAGCAAATTTTTCAAAGACTACATCAAGAACGGACTGAAAGAGATCGAAGACTCCAGGAAGACTGCGCAAGCAACTATAGTCGGTAGGTACAACAATCACCGGTTTACTGTATCGAACTTGTGTCGAAAGGTGAGATCTCGTTGATCCTCGGCTCGCACAAGACTTCTGAGGGTTATCGTTTGAAACAGATTTTAACAGAAATTTTTTTTCTCAGACAAAGTCGGCGATAAATCTCAAGAAACTGTCGAAAACTCCGTTCCCGACGTGGATCTGAAAGGGCCCGACTATTGGAACGAGAGGCTGAAAGATATTATTGAAAATATCAACAAGGAGATGCTTCTCTCTTAAGCTACCATAGTATACTATGAAACGGAATAATCGTTAACCCAGTAACTTATTTCCCAGATCGATATCAAAATATTTTGTTTTCAACTCTTAATAAAATATTGAACCCGGTAAGTATTGTAAACCTGCCTACACCAGGTGTGGCCAATCACAAGATTTTGTTCGAGCACCCTGTAAGTGTTTTGTATTTATATGAAGCATTTATTACTTTCGACTCTCAAGAAACAGTATAAACATAATTTGCTAATTGAATATGAAGGATTTCACACAATTGAAGCATATAAAAGAGAATCTCATGATCTGGTCTCATCTGAGAATTGTATTGCAGAATCGTTTAACAAGTATTTTATTGATAGCGTACAAGAAATTGTGAACACTATTGATCAATCTGATTCACTTCATGAGAACAATGTTATATCGGTTAACAGCTCCTTCGAGAAATTCAAAGTGTTGGAGTTAGCAGATCTGTCTAAATTGATCAACGGAGTGGAAATGAAATACAGCAGTGGGATACTTAATTGTAAACTCATTAAAAAAACGTTTGGTGTTATAGGACATGCATTGTTGTATTTTATAAATACAACTTTGAGCACTGGCAGATTTCCGAAGGAGCTCAAGACCAGTGCCAATTCAGAAAGTCCCTAACACAAATAAATCCTGGGAATTTAGACCAATCAACACTTTGCCTTGTATTGAAAAAATATTAGAACTCGCAGTTTATAAACCAACTCATTGAATATTTAGAAAATAATGATATTTTACTAAAATATCAGCCAGGTTTCAGAAAACACCATTCATGTTAGTCTGAATTACAAGTCACAATATCAAAATGGAAAGAATCAATAGATATGAGACATTATATTATAGCCGTATTTTTAGATCTTAAAAGAGCTTTTGAGACAACTGATCGCCACATATTACCAAATAAACTGCATAGTATTGGTATCACAGAAACTGTTTTGTTATGGCTGACTGATTATTCATCACAACGCAAACAGGTAACCAAAATAAAGGATTCTGTGTCATCTCGCGATGTCATTTTCGAGGTACCTCAGGGGAGTGTTTTGGGACCTCTATTATTTTTAATCTACCTGAATGATATAGATACCATCCATGGTTATGATTTCATGAACCTTTTTGCAGACGACACTTTGTTATCAATTTCAGGAGATAATATAGAAACAGTAGCTGATCGAATGAATAATGAACTAAGAAATGTTTTCAAGTACATACATAGCAACAC